CTGCAACGTTGATGCTTTATCTCCACAAATAACACAATGCTGGCGGAGTTCTGCTGTGTGACGGTGTTGCTAATGCTAATGGTTAGCTTCCACTAGTCGAGATGTTCACTGCCATTTCCTGGACCCTAAAACAACAACAGCCTTCTCCATCGTGAGTCAAAATGAGTGAGTACATCAATGTGACGTGACAGAGTGATGTAATGATCTGTAGTTGTATTTTTAAATATTATAATCAGAAGTGGTTGTTTTTATCATCAGGGAGTTTACTTAAACACTCTGTATTGACTAAGAGACAAGAAAAGAGAGAGTTGGGATCGTTTAAGAATCTTTAATTTCAATAATTATACATTCTTACAATCTACCAGGACTATCTCAATGATGGATGCATATGGATTTGGATGTTTCATGTTGGTGTGTGTGTGTGTGTGTGTGTGTGTGTGTGTGTTGTTCAGAATCTCTAGGCTGACGTAGCAAATCTGGTTGTTATGACTAGGCTACCACGAGGCTTCAGAAGCTGATGACAAGAGCCGCCATTTTGTGCCGTGACCACGTACCCTGTGGAGCCTCCCGTGTAGATCAGGAAATGCCAGGTCCTCGGACCCTCGGATGTACCGCAGCTGGTGAAACAGCGGTCGCAGCACTACAAAGCCCGTCTGTGGGTCGACTCCGGTAGCAGTCGGCAGGCGTCAGCAAGTTCACTCTTATTTTGAAGGAATGTCGTCTTGTTGTTGAAACAACGGAAATCTCCAGCTTGACAGTTCTCAGCTTAAAATAGGAAAGTACAGCTGGCCAGCCTGTAACTTTCTTAATGATGACGATGGAAATCCTTAGGACCTCCAATTGAACAGAACTGAGGTTAAAATGGAACTGAGTATAAAATGGCGTTGCCTTGTTTTATATCTCCCAGTTGTTTATAAATCTTAGTAAACCGGATTGGACAACTTAAGTAAACAACCCAGATTCTCTCTACGACAGACGAAAGTTCTGATTGGTTGAAAATGTGTCATGCGTTTCCATGGTAATGTAGATCAGTCTGTCTGGTGCAGTCCTGTTTATTCATTAAACACATAACTCATGACATCTTTATTTCACAGATCATTCACCTGATTATTAATGATCAACATATGCTCTGATTAGCTTTATCACGAATAAAGTACTTTGATTAATTAATGGAAAGCGTTCTTCTTCTCTTCTTCTGTCTCTTCTCCTGGAATGTAAACATACTGAAACAAGCGTCCGACCTTGGCGATGTTACTGTGTGAAGGGGCAGCTGTTAAGGGCAGACAATTATAATATTCATAGCGCTACAGTGACGTGGATCTGTCAGGACTTTCAAATTCCAGAGTTTCACCTCCTATTTCCTATCAGGAACTAATGCAGGAGATAGGTGTAGGAGACTATTGCCATGTTCAACCTGCATGAAAAACTCAGTGACCAATTATAATCAGAAATAATCATTAAAAAATGTTTTTACAGTGTTCTACACATTTGAATTAGGTAGTTTTACAACCTTGGCTTATTTTTATTGTCCTAATTAGCAACGTCAAAATAAGTTATTCATAGAGATTTGGTTTCATGCTGGTATTTTACTTTGACTCCCCCACTTATGGTAACACACACACACACACACACACACACACACACACACACACACACACACACACACACACACACACACACACACACACACACACACACACACACACACACACACACACACACACACACACACACACACACTGGGAGACCACTAAACCACACTCTGTCAGCTTTGGGATAGCTTTCTGTCTTCACAATTCTGGTCAGGAGAAAGAAAACATAATATGGTCTCAATTTATCTGGAATTTTCCCTGTTTCCCAGTTGGGGATTATGCCAGAGGACTTGGGTATGGCACAGGAAAACCTTCGCCTTAGGGAATTTGGGAGGGAACCAGAGGGCATTCACGAGTCAGGAGGATTTGGCTCCTGTGGATGCATCAATAGCAGAGTATACTTTCAGGACACTTAATGTATGTAATCCAGAAGGATTGGGAAAGTACATTATTTGGAAATTGGTGGGGTATTATGCTAACAGGCGGAAATATTTCCATAAGCGTGTCTTTTTGTTGTACAAGGATGTGCATTTCTTTTGCTTATGCTTTCAGTTTTTTTTTCAAAAGTGAAACACAGCACAGTCAGACACACTTAATGTCTGATTAGTTCAGAATGGTTTCCTTTTATAATCGGTTGCAGGCTGATATTTGAGAGTAATAATCCCCAAAGGAGCCACATAACTGGAGGGAAATTGGAGTTGGAGGTTCAGTGAGCCGAGTTTGTTTTTATAGCTCTGATCTGAGCATGAATCTAGGTTCCACCCCTACCTCCCATTCATTGTTCCTACCTTCCATTCATTTAATAAGGTGTCCTAACTCCACTTCTCTGATTATTTCATGCAATTGTAGGAAACTAATCACAGATTTTATTTTTTTTTTACGTTTGATAAAGTGATGTATAATTTAAAACCGGTAAATCAGCCCATCATTCACAGCACAGCTGTGATTCATACGCCAAGGCTGGGACAGGAAGTGCTTCTTCATCTAAATGTCTGTTTTAAACCCAGGTGCAGGTGAGTCACTGGCTTCTTGACAGCTGAAGCTCACAGTTAACAAAAATACTCATCTTTTATTGAGCCTGCACTTGATCACCGTCCTGTCACTTCCTCTAGATGTTATGATGTAAATCAATCAAACGTTGTCTTGGCTGTGCATTTATGGTCAGCACTAACACCTGACTCAGGAGACAATTCCTGTCCTTACTGGGTAGCTTCAGAGCTCTGCAGGTCATAACTGTGATAGAATATTACCCTCTTAAGGTTACACTAGTAAACACTAGCCAATATAAGATTTAAAGGTGTGGTTCACTGAGACAAAAACATTTTTTAATGGTTATTTCTGATTATAATCGGTCACTCTGAATTTTTCATGCAGGCTGAACATGAAAATAGTCTCCTACACCTATCTCCTGCTTTAGCTTCTTATAGAAAAAAGACTGTGAAACCTGACAGATCTACGTCACGCTGTCACATAACATTCATGTACTCACCAATCTTGACTTGCGACGGGGAAGGCTGTTGTTGATTAAAGTCCAGCAAACAGCACACAACGCTCTGACTTTTAAAAGCTAACTGTTAGCATTAGCAACACCATCTCACAGAATAAGGCCTCCAGGCTTGTGTTTTTTGCAAGATAAAACATCCATGTCACAAGTCAATGGTAGAGCTGTTGTCCAATCCAAGGAGAGATGTCTAAATAACAGGAAAAAAGACTCCAAATCCAGCAGACTTTTTGGGCTTTTCTTGCCCTGAATAGAGCTTGAAAGGCGTACATTTCTACAACAGACCACTGTGAATGCATTGATTAAACAAGTTTCCCACACTTTTAATAAAAATGTATCAAATTGCTATGGGCTCGACACACGAGAGGCGGCATCACATCTCCTCCATTCATTTTCAATCAAGACAAAGCAATGATCGCGGGCCTTTCTCCTGCAAAGTGACATGCTAAAAATCTGCATGCGAAAAAATACACAGATTCTTTCCCCTATCTAATATTTCTAACATCACAACTACTATTTATTAAAGGTGCAGTATGTAAGAATATAGTGAGCATTTTATTGTGATAAAATCCCAAAAGAGTCTAATGTTTCAGTCATTTTGGAAGGAAGGTCATACTGAAACATGTTTCATATCCAGGCGGCTGCTGGGGTTGTCAGTTTCTCTCCTTTCAAAACAAAGGAAGGAGAGATGTAACTACTGTTTACCATAAGTGAGAGTGGGGTTGCCGTGTGTCCTGTGAGCTAATACTGCAGCGTACTGACAATTATAATTTGACGACAGCTGGCAAAAAGGTTCAGAGATGTTTAAAAGTGATTACAGTAATCATATTTTACCACAGGATGTCATTTTTACTTCTTCTCTACATAATGCACCTTTAAAATAGACTTAAGACCAGGTAACGGATGTCATTTTTACTTCTTCTCTACATAATGCACCTTTAAAATAGACTTAAGACCAGGTAACCTTTTATTGAGTTTGTGGAATACAAATACATGTAAATTTGTATGTAAGTAAATTACATTAAGTCTAGTTCCAGTGTATACTGATGTGGCTTTAAAGATGCATTTTTGGAGTTAACTTTATTAAAAAATAAATAGTAAATTTCAGCTATTGTGCAAGAATAAACATATGCAATTTATCTGAAGTCAGAATCTATTCATTTTACATGGATGTAATACCACAGTAGCTTCCATTTTGAAAGAATACAGACCCAAAATCAACCCTTTCCAGCAAATTAAATGTGACTATTGGTTCAAAGAATATGTGCCAGTTTTCTGTCAGCTAAACAATCTAAACTGAGTTTTTTCTGTAAACAATGCCCGGAGAGCCTCATCCGAGACTAAACAGACCCCCTACACACACACACACACACACGCACGCACGCACGCACGCACGCACGCACGCACGCACACACACACACACACACACACACACACACACACACACACCAGAAACATGAACTGAAAACTCAATTACTTCAAACCAAGTCTGATATGTAACAAGAGAACTTCAGACTTCTGCACATACTAACATATATTTAGCCTTAAACCATTTTTATTGCTCACAATTTAGTGAAATTCTCAGAAATGAAACATTGGATGTACGTCTACCTTTCAGTGTTGACTCAGTTCAATCCTGCTGCGGCTGACTGACCTTATCAAACACACCAATAACTGTCTGTTTAGCAAACAATAAGTTAATGTTTGGTGTACTTAAGAGTAATCCCAAATATATTATATGCATGTTACACTTTGAACATTATACGGCTGCACCTCTTTTGCACAGACTTGACTGCAGACTTGGTCTTTATTTGCTAACCCCTTTTGCCACACCTTAGGGTAATTACATGAACTCATAACGTGCACAGTTAACATATTAAGATGAAAACTATTTGGTGCTGAGTGTGAGGCATTCTCTTGCTTCACATGCTCTGCAGCCTGCTGCATGGAACACAGAACTGTTAGGGGAGGTGTGGGGCGTGTACCTATATTCCTCTCTAAACCCTCACAGGCCACCTTTGGTAGGAGCTTTCAGATGGAGCAGTGACACCAAGGAGCTTTTATCTATTCTCCGCGAAGATTGAAATTTGTATTGGATAAAAAAATACAAGACAAAGATTAATTTGACCCCAACTCACGGATTTCAGGTATAGGATTTTTGACATTTAAGACAAAGAGCTGCTTTTCTTGTATTATTATTATTGTTGTTGAGTGCGGACCATGTGAGCTCTTCAAGGACTTACTGAAATAAATGGATGTTCATCCTCATTTAATAATGGTTCATTTTGGGAATATTTGACAAGACAAAGATGAAATCCTTCCTGGCAAGAAGCACACTTCTCCTAATGCTGACTCTGACTGTCTTACAAGGTGAGTATGTGTGGTTCAAACATGCTTTATTGGTTATTTATTGCTTATATTGATTAAGTAGCCTATTGTGACTTTTTTGTTCTTAATAAAGGTGCTTTGATATCTGATGTGAAATCCAAGAGCAACCCCAGAAGTCTCCCAGACTCCGGGGCGTTTGGCTCCAGGGAATCTGCGGGTTCGCACCTGCCTGAGAGCGCAAAGTCCCGGCAGAAGCGATGCACCTGTTATTCCTACACGGATAAGGAGTGCGTCTACTACTGCCACTTGGACATCATCTGGATTAACACCCCTGAGTAAGCCATGCTTTCCTAAACAGTAACAAAACAAACAAAAGATCAGTCAGCCTAGTTTTAATGCGCGCACATCTCCGCCAAAGGTCAGCTGGGACAAATGAAGCAATGGTTTCGCTGATTGGCCCGTGGCGTGTTTGTAACAGAAGAGGAGCCTTCTCTCTTTGCAAGCTGCGCCTGGTGTTGTGCGAAAAAGAAAGCACCGGTGCAGCCAAAGGCGCCAGACGCAAAATTAGTTCAAGTGATGGCAAGCCCGAAATGAGCAACACACCGCGGTTTGAAACCAGAGAGGAGAAAACAAGCAGTTTTCTATCTGCTCCAAGGACGCAGCGCAAGTCTTTGAGTTATCGTTTGTTTGCAGGTTTTCATCTGGATCCGCACAGTTTGGTGACATAAACCAGAAAAAAAGACCTATTAGGATAAACCCGAGAAAAAGATGGATGAAGCAACAAAGGAGTTGTAATTATGTTATCTTATTTTAACACTTCAAATAGATTTTTTATGAAGGGAGTTTCCTGGTACGAGTTCAAGATGAAAGCCATAATATCCATTCCAGATAGCTTTTTGAACAACTTCTGTTTGGAGAAATAGCTCTCACGTTCTTCAGGACCATTGAGCAGCTGCATGGTTCACGCAAACATTTTTAATAAACCTTCACATCAGTTTTGCATCACAGATTACGTACATGAAATTCTCTAGTTAATTATAAGCCTCACCATCAGCAGCAGAATGAAGCACGTTCTGTCCTCCAAGAGGCACGTTTCATCACATTTCTACCAAAGGGACCAAATTTACAATCATTTAGACAGTTAATTGTGTATCTCAACTTCAGAGCACTTCACAGGCAATGTCATACGCCACCAAAGTGCTGCATAGATATTAAAAAAGTGAATAAAAATGAAATAAAAGCAAATGTACCACAGCCCACGTCAAACAAAATGACAAACATTAAGTTATGTATGCATGCTGCCATGAAATTTAGGATATTGAAGTTTTGACAAGTTTTTACAATTCAAAATGTGTTCAAAATATATTTTAAAGGTGTAGAACTCTGAAAAAACAATTTTAATGATTATTTCTGATTATATTCGGTCACTCACTTGTTCATGCAGGCTGAATATGAAAATAATTATCCTATACCTATCTCCATTAGCTTCTGATAGAAAATAGACGGTGAAACTCTAGGATTTGAAAAGCCTGACAGATCTACGTCACACTGTCACTTAGTAGTGGAAGCTAATCATTAGCAATAGCCACTTCACCACACAGCAGAAGCTCCTCCAGGCTTGTGTTATTTGAGTAGATAAAACATTGCCATTGCAAGTCAGTGGTAGAGTTGCTGTTATCCAATCCAAGGTGAGATGTTCATCAGGAAATAGGACACCAGAACCCGCCATCTGAAGCTTAGCTGTGATGTGGGTAACTTCGAGTTCCTGGAAATTATGCATTGATATATTTTTCCCCGCCAAGTACGACTTGCAAGGCATTAATTACTACTAGAGGCCACTGCAAATGTATTGAATGAGCGTTCAACACCTTTAACCTAAATCAAATCTATTTCACCACAGCATGTGCCAACCTTTACGATTATAAACCTTTATATGGCTACATTACATGTTACTTTGGCAGAAATACATATGTTTTTAATTGCAAGAATCACAAGAAGTTTCAGCTTTTGCACTTTTTGACAACTGTACAAGTAAAAATCACACAAACAATCATGTAAACATGCATATCTAGATAGTGCTAATTGTGGGTGTAACATAATGTCACACAAACATTTGGTGACCACTGAGATGATGATAACATTTAAAATGTGTATTGTTTCTTAGGCTTTGTGGTCTGCATGTTTTAGAGGATTCCCAGTTAATACCTAATTTAAATGAATTAAAACGCTTACGCTGAACTGGAAAACTAGCTGAGAAAGAAAAACTTTGAATTAGGTGGGTTCAAGCTGAAAGCACGACATCTAACACATGCAGAATGAGGAAACAACTGACCAGAGTTAAGGTCTGGTACAAGACATTTGTAAAACTGTTCAACATTGCGCTTTCTCATTAATTAAAAACTTCATATCTAGATACACAATATTTTCTGCAGGTAAAATATTTTCAAACAACAAGCCGAGGTATTTATTGCCGGACTTTACATTGTTTACTGATGTCATGGTGACTTGTTGCATGTCTCAATGAGGAAAATCCTAACTACTTTAAAACGTCTGACCAACAGAGCAGCCTGTTTGGACATGAAGAAATAAAATCAAGATCTCAAACAGCTGACAACAGCTGCGCAATCCTATAGACTCCTTGACACGTGGCGTCATGCGCCCATGCTCCCCAGCTTCTCGCTGGAGGGCAGGAAGCTGGCACCTCCTCGTTGTGTTTATCTGTCAGTTGTCAATAAACGGAGCTAAAATAATCTGTCAGCACGGTTAACATACATAGCACTGTAAACTGCACAATTAGATGAAAGAAGGACGTTAAACGGAAAATTTTACAGGTTTCCAGCTGATGAAATATGCCAAAGGTAATGGTTAACAGCCAGCAGATTCTAGTGAATAAACCACCCACATCGTGGCAAAGTCGCATGACAGACTAAAAGTAATAAATCTGCTACACACGTCCAGATATGAACAAGTTATAGCCATCTAATCACTTATGTGCTATTTAAATATAATTATGCGTGGCTGCGGGTCACGATAGCCCGTGGAGAACCGACCGACCGTGCAGAGGCAGCAGTGAGGAGAACTGTGCTACAGATCAGTTCTGAGAAAAAAAGCGTGTGTGAAACTGACAATGCCGGTGTGGTGTGTAGTTCTGCGTGTGACCCGCGGTAATTGTCTTGTTAGAATATTTGCACAAAATGTGTCATATAATTGGAGAGAGTAGCATCTAATGTTGTAAATTCATGCTTCTGTTTACGGTGCTCGTCAGCCTAAACGGGGCATCCGTTAATCTCAAAAGACTAACTGCGTCACGGCAATCCTTGAGCAGTCACCCACAAAACATAAAAGAAATCTGGCTACTCCAATGATGCTTCAGTTGTGTGAAGTCCAGACGGCCAGTTCTGAGGAGGACTGCCATCTCACAGCTTGCTAGACATTTTAAACGTATATAGAAAGTTTGTGCTGAACACCGTTGGCTTTGAGATGTTTCTTTTTTGATTATTTGCAGAAAGATGTGTTACATAAGCTAAAGTAGTAAAATCTACATCCATAGGTTTTATTTTGTTAGCTTAAATCGCAGAGATACAGTTCTGGGAAATGGCTGGAGACAGTGTTCTTGTCCCCCAGCATTGTGCGGATGCACGAGATTACCCAGATGTAAACAATAACATTCTTTTTAAAAAAATTTTTATTGTTCCCGTGTCCTGTCTGGCTGTGAAGTAAACATAATTGATGTCTGCATGGTGGCGCAGTTGTTAGCACTGTTGCCTCGCAACACAAAGGTTGCAGGTTCGAAACTCGGCTGCGGTTTCCTCCGGGTACTCTGGTTTTCCCCCACAGATCACAACATGCCCTATAGGTTATAAATTGTAAGTCGCTTTGGATAAAAGTGTCTGCCAAATAAATAAACATAAACATAAACATGTCTGAATCCTGGTGACATGCCTTACAGATTTACACGATAGTAAATCACAGTGCATATAGTGCCAACCACAGCCTTAAGACATGTGTTGAAAATGCCCAATAAACATTAACAATCAATGGGTCCATCAAAAACAGGAACACCGATGAGTTATCAGTATAATTATAAAATGATAATTACCATTGTTTTGCCCAGTTTTATTGCAGTATTGCGGTGCAAGTGAATACATTATACATGTTTTTGCTGTTTACACTACCCACAATTTTATGAAGAAGATGAAGATAAAGATTTTTGGCTGGTGATAAAACAACAGCAAGGTGAAGGTGTTTTTATTGATGGGGTTGTCATTTTTAACCACATGACAGACACAAGTCTTTCTTTGAAAGAGTCAAACGCCTGTAATAGCCAGGGGTGTTTCACATACATTTGAAATATATTAACTTTGCAGATGATGAGGCAGGCGGTGTGCTTTAGTAGCTGTAATGACATAGTAAAGCTGGTGTTATCGCAGAGTTTCAGCCTCCATGTGTGCAGGGAGACACACCGCAGATTAGTAACAAAGCATTAAAATATTACTTCCAACACCCTTTTGTCAAGACTGACACCCAAACCACATTTTCAACAAGATGACAGAAAAGCATTCGTTTTTTCTGTCTTCTTGTGCCAGGATTGCTGTAGGCTTCTTCAGATAAACAGCTATTTCTATTACTGCATAGCATGTTGGGACAAACGGACATGTTTGAAATACCAAATGAGGGGAAGACACAAGCCATAAACTTCATATAAAGGTGAATTTTTTTTTAACATTTTGAGGACTTTTGGAGAAGAATCGTAATGCAACTTAAAAATAGAAAAAATGCTTCTGAGCAAAAATGAAAGAAAAAGTGCGAGAAAAAAAACGTTATCTCCCACTTCTACTGAAAACATCATTATTTCTAATCTCTGAGAGAAGCTGCTCTTTTATTTGTCATCACAAGACTGGCTACTGATCATTTCTGAGTGTTTATGTGTACACATGCAGTGCAACGTTCCCCAAGAGCCAAAGATAAAAAAGATAAAGACCTAATGTTTCTTTTAAGCCGTTCTCTTATGGTTTTGGAGTTGATCTCTTTGCATATTTCCAGATCCCTTTGTGATAAATTAAGGCACAACACGGACTCAGACTGAACAGGTTGAAATTTAAAAGGTATTTCACCCTGAGGATAATCAAGTATATGTTGCAAACAGGCAGACTTCAGCAGGAGGCGGGTAGGAAAAGAGGAAGCAACAGGCACGGATGTTAGCAGCACTGCGGGTATTCAATCAGAAACAGGCAGCAGGCGATCTGACAAATTCTGACAAGTCCACAAGAGAAAAACTCTTCATCTCTCAACTGATCTTTAATTCCAAAAGACAAATGTAGCTTACTAACCCTCCCAGGCAGATCCTCCTGCAGGAACGCTCACTGGGAGATGAGGTTATCTCCTCTTTGACCTTTTTGACCCTAAAGGCTGCAAACTCCTTTTTCTACCAAACAATTCACAGATGGTTGAAAACAGATGAGACAAAAGAGAGATAAATGGCAGCTTGACAGCATGAGAATTGGTATCCAGATGGTAGAATTGGCACAGTCAGAAAATATAATCACAGACTTACTGACTTATTGTAGTAAAGACGATTTATAGACGTCACATTTCTATCAGGATTATTCAGCTTCACAAAGCCCTAGGGTCTATTTGCCTTTGTGCTTGCACATTGGTTTCCAATGGTCACTTTTAAATAAAAATGTTATTTAAAAATGGTTGTAAAAGCTCTCATTGTGTCAGTTTAGATTTATATTCTCACTCACCCAATCACTTCTATGAAGAGATGCACAGATTCTGGTCTTTGACAGCCAATACCCATTTCAGTTATCCTGCTGACGCTGAAATCTCGCAAAGAGTTATAGTTCTCAGTATCTACAGTAATAAATAGAAATGTATGATATGAACAAAAAAAAACCATGTATTTTTGGACGATATGGGACAAATGCAGCAAAAGTGAATTTGTAGTCATTTTTCTATTGCTGCAAGGCAACAGGGCTTTTGTGAACCAAAATATAAAAAAAGAGAAAAAGGTTTAGATTGGATTGAATATTCCAATCAACAGCTATTATTTTAATGTATTCAGTCTTTTTATATTGTAATGCAACTAAAACATCTTTTTGCAAACAACTGGAAGTCATAAATGCTGTGCTCAGGAAGGAGCATCTATCAGACCAGCTAGATGCTTCAGTCCCATCAAGCCTTTACTGGTATCACTGAGACTGTTTGTACCTCATCCCTTAGGCACACTGTGCCGTACGGTATGTCCAGCTACAGAGGACAACAGAGGAGGAGACGTGCTGCTGGACGAGCTTCTGAAGGGGACTGGCTTAAAGCACGACGCTGCGTTTGTGTTGTGGCTGATGCAGACCCAGAGTGTCAGGATTTCTGCCTGCAAAGGTAAAACTGTGCTAAAATACTGGCTTATATTGTGTTATTTAATATGTTGGGCTACATGTTTTATTTAGCCGATTAACCTAATTGAATAAGTCTTGTGAAAATAGCTGCTAATCAGAATTCTAATAATTTAATGCATTAAATAAAGTTGAAGGAGGTAAAAAGGCACAAAGCAATATCTGCCTATCATACGTCTTGTCTTTTAATAGTTTTAGAACATTTGTATGTACTAAAGCTTTTTCATGAATCAGTGTCATGCTTACCACATCGAGTGTGAAGAAAGCCAGAGGGCAAAACCTCAACTGGCAGCCAATTAACTGGATAAAACCTCCTGAAACTTCTCACCTTACAACAACAATAAAGCCCCAGGTTTGAAACTGGGCCAGCGCCTTCCTGTGGGAGTTTGTATGCATGTGTGGGTTTTCTCAAACATGCACAAAAAAGCAATTGCAGTAGATTATTAGATAAACTACGGCATCAAATCTCCTCATCAGTGCAATCTCGCATCCTCAGAAAGCCCATGAAAGCAGCATAATTAAAGGGATGAGTCAATGAGCCAAGTGCTCTGTTAGGAACAGCTAGAACAGTAAGATTGTTCATATAAGGTGGAGCTTTATAATCAAGCAAATGTTTCATTTCTATTTTGGGCATTAGTGGAAAGCCAGAGTGCTGATGAGCGCCCATGAATCCAGAAACGTGCTGGGTGTGAGTGAATGGGCACCAGCTCCCCACGATTCTGAACAGGATTATACGAGAACAAGAAGAAAACAAATATTTGGACATTTTTCTAAAACAGATCATTTTTCTTTGTGGCGTAAACATGAAAATAAATGAATCAATAATTAAAACTTGGAATCTTATGAGCTAGAACATCTCCGTAGTCTTTATCTGTGTGTATGTATCTTATTTAAAATGATGAATGCGGGTTTGCAGGGTTCAGTGGATAATAACTATCCATGATAGAAATGTTTATGGCGGAGCTACTTTAAAACACGCCCCATTTTATAGATATTACCTACTGGAAACAGAAGATATGAATTAAAATTTAGACCTGAACAGAATCCAGGAAAGAGTACGCCATTAGCTCAGAATGTACTGATTACATCAATAAAGTCATATAAAATACTGAAAACATGACAGAATCGCTCATCTACTGGCCCGGATTCACATGCTGGCTCTGGGTTCGGAAAAAGTCTGCTCAGGAAAAAAAAAAAAAGTTCATCTTTTGTTTTGCCTTTTGACTTTGTTAACAACCTTATCGTTTCTGCTTTGGGGGATTGTTTCTGCCAAACAAACTGGGATGAGCATGGCTTCTTATCCTGTTTCATCCAATTGCCTCCCATTTGTTATGGATGCTGGACTGATTGGGTCCATTCCTTTTTAAATGGATTGTGTTTCACAGAACTGCATGTATGTTATTTTCTAAGTCACATGCATGTTACTTCAATAATACCAACCGTATGTTGAATGTTGTCTTTAAAGCCATCGTCAGACTCTTCCTACCACGAGTCTCCACAGAATCCCCGGCCATGGATGACAGCCAGCGTCTCTCCATCTTCTGCATCTCATCTCGGCTGAACAGCCTTTTCCCTCACCTTTAGCGTTGTCCCCCCCACACTCTCAGTTTGGCATCTTGCCTCCCAGGTACATGCAGTCAAAGGAAGAACTTTTAAGTTGCACACTGCCAACATTCCTCAGCATCAAAACTCTTGGAGCAAGTTCCATCAGACCAAGGGGTTTCACAAACACGTCAGCATATTTGATGCAGATCCCCGGAGGTTATTTCTCTTTTTGTTCCCTTCTGAGAGAACCGCAGGGATTACTTTCGCCATATTATAAATGCAACAGCCAATGACCTATCTTATGTCAAGCTTAATCAAATGGACACTTTGGTTTAAGTCCAAGTGATATGAACTTCACTGGACTAATTCTTTAAAAACACAGAGTCTATGAAAACTAATTCATCGTGATCCAAGTTGCGTCCTTGTGTAAGACTCAGTTCCACAACAGTGTAGGAACACCGAGAGCCACTGAAACAGGAAAAGGTGACAATGATTATAGTGATTTGCTATCTTAGAGTCAAATTGACTGAAATCTGCTAAGAAAACTAGAGGGCAAGACTTATGCTACACATGTTATAGAACTAATGTTTTTGTGCTCTATTTGCAGCTTTTAATGGTGACTGGCTGTTCTTTACTTTCTTTTCTGACTTAAGAATGAGCCAACACTGATTGTGTACCCTGTGTGAACTATCTCAAGCTGTGTAGGATTACAAACCTCTCGCAACTCATACTGGATAACGATATTCTCTTCCTATAATTGTCAATAAGCTGAGGATCGTTTCTGTAGTTTAAAGTTCAATTCAATTCAATTTGTTTATTTATATAGCGGCCGCCAACTCACGACAATAGTCGTCTTAAAGCACTTCACATGGTAAAAATTCCAATACAGATCAGTCCATTAAGTCAATCAGTAAAAAGTTTCCTATATAAGGAACCCAGCAGATTGCATCAAGTCACTGACTGGTGTCACTGACTTTACAACAATCTTCATACTAAACAAGCATGCAGTGACAGTGGAGAGGAAAACTCCCTTTTAACAGGAAGAAACCTCCAGAGGATCCTGGCTCAGTATAAGCAGCCATCCGCCACGACTCACTGGGGATTGAGAAGACAGGGCAGGCACACGCACACGCGCGCGCGCACACACACACACACACACACACACACACACACACACACACACACACACACACACACACACACACACACACACACACACACACACACACACACACACACACACACACACACACACACATCAACACCCACACCAACACCTACCCACCCACACACACAACATACTGTATATGCCAAGTAGTGTTTCTGTGATTGCATTGTGATTTCTTAGTAAATATTCTATTTAGTAAGAGATAAACTTTATTGTATTTATCCGAGTGAATCTATAATTAATTGAACAGGTAAACTAGTAGTAACACAATCTATGTCAAAGAAAGTAAAAAGTATTGTCAGGCGAGGGAGAATGTTTAAGTGGTTAGAAGCAGTGTATAAGCCATTGGCCCCCTCCATGAGGCCACCACAGCTCAGTAGAACACCATTGTAGCTTATTCTGGGGAGAAAAAGACAAAGTAAAAATAAAGTTAACAGCTGAAATAGCAGGAAATAATGCAGTGAAAGAGCAAATTGTGGATGAAAGTAGTCGAGTGTGGAAAGTGGTCAGTATGTCCTCCAGCAGTCTAAACCTATAGCAGCATAACTACAGAGGTAACTCTGGATAACCTAGCCTTTTAATTGGAGACATGTTGGAAGCAGGGCAAGGGAGAGCCATCTTTACAAACTGTATTCTCCACCTCCCTCTACTCCCCCCACCTGTCCAGATCTGGGCTAACATCAGCATGGGCTAACATGTGCTTGTTTCAGAAACTAGCAGAATGCCACATCAGAGTTCAACTTAAAACGGCAGTATTTGGATTCTTATTTCCTGATATTTAGCCATCTTGCCTCTTATTGGCTAACACCAATGCATACCACTGACTGTTTGCTCTGCACTGTGGATGTTTTATCTCCACAAATAACACAAGCCTGCTGTGTGGTGGAGTGCCTAATGTTAATGTTCAGCTTATACTAGCCGAGTTTGCTCTGCTCTCTCCTGGAAGTCAAGACGGGTGAGTTCATGAATGTTAAGTGACAGTGTGGCGTAGATCTGCCATGTTTTTCTAATCCTAAAGTGTCACTATCTATTTTCTATCAGAAGCTAATGCAGGAGATAGGTGTAGGAGACCATTTTCATGTTCAGCCTGCATGAAAAACTCAGATTGGCCTATTTTAATCACAAATAATATTAAAATTAAAGCTGCAAGCAGTGTCGTTCGGCCCTCGAAGCTCCGCGCCGCTCCGGCCTGGCCGGCAGCCTGGGGCACCCGGGCGCGTCCGCGGAACAGAAATGTCGACCACCCCGACACCAGAAACCACGAACGGTCTCCTCATCCGCACCTCACCCTGACTCAGCATGTCCTCTGAGCCCACCATTAAATTACACATGTCACCACTAGGTGATACTCTATCTTTACCACACTGGTGGTATGATGACACAGACCAGGTTTAATGCTATTCTGCCCACGTTTTTCAAAGTTATTGAAGGTTAAGGTTATCTAGGGGACGCTGTGACCAATTACATAAAAATCCCAATGAGGTCCTCTTAGGGAGTCAAAGATGGCTTTGTGGTAGTTTGGCATCAATCAAACTTTGCTTGTGCTTTCTAGAGCCAGAGAGCTGAAAAGGGGAGGAGCTAAAGGGATTTGAACCAACAACCACATCAATGTGTTTGGTGCAGTCACGTGATGACACAAGCCAAGTAAAATGCCATTCTGACCTTGTCTTTAGAAGTTAATAAAGTTTGAACCTATCTCGGGGGTGCTGTGACCTTTTACAACTAAGTTCCATGGAGGTCATCTTTGGTCATCAAAGATGGTTTTCTGATAATTTGAAATCAATCAAACATTGCATGGGTCATCTACAGCCAAAAGGCTGTAATTGGGCGGAGTTAAAGTGATTTGAATGAGTGAGCACATACATGTGTTGGTTGCAGTTGTGTGATGACCCCCACCATGTTTGATATAGTTTGGAGCTCTTTTGTAGAAGTTACAAAGGTTTTATTGTATCTAGGGGCGCTGTCCCAAATTTAGGAAAATATCCCATGGAGCAGCTTGTAGGTTGACAACAATCATTTGCGTGTAGTTTGGTGTGAATTGAATTATGCATGTGTTATTCAGGGCCTAATATCTGTCAGGGGGCGGAACTAAAGCAATATCAACCAATGACCACAGGATTGTTTTGGGTGCCATTATGTGATGACACATAGCAAGTTTGATGCAGTTGCGACCTCGTCTGTAGGAGTTATTACAGATTTAAAGGAATTTAGGGGGCGCTGTGGTGATATTATGCAACGTTCACCAACTGTTTGTGCCTCATTGGCTAAAGGGCATGATTGTTGATCGCCATGTTCAGTCTTGTGAAGATCGGAGGCTGTTTGTGGAAGTTACAGTCAAACGTAAGGTCACTGCGTCATAACAGAATTCGCCATGGCATTAAAGCCCCTCAGTTTCTGGAAAGCTATCAGAACTGAATGGTCATTACAGCATCATGAAGACAGTGCATGACCTTAGTGTCATGTTGACTAAATTAGAGGGGACAAATATGGGCCTTTCACCATAAAACAATAGACTTCCTGTTGTCAGGGGGTGGGGCTTAGGTGATGTCAGCTGTCCACATTGTCATTGTCTGGAGATGTGGTCAGTGATCACACAGACAAAGTTTGATATAGATCTGATCATGCATATGGGAATTATTACATCAATGAATGGCGAAAGGTCAAATTTTGAGGCTTAGCCACGCCCACACCTTTCAGCTTTAGAAAAATCCAACAGTTGAATTTTTTCCCCTATGTCTTAAGAGTATATAGTAAAAGTTTGAAGGCGATCGGTAAAAAGGACAACGGGGCATCATTCTCAAAACAATGTGTGCGAAAACCACTAAATCGAGTACCTGGACCAAAATGGCCGACCTCCTGTGCGACGTTGTGCTTTCCTCCAAAAGACTTTTTTGTTGGTCCTGAAACACTACATTAGTGTACCAGATTTTGTAATCCTCAGTCAAAGCTTGGCTTGGGGCTGACAGTTTATATGGTCCTAGGGGGCGCTATTTAAGAAAATAGACCACGCCCAACAGATTTTCACATCAGATATTTGGGCGGCGGGACTAGGATCACTCACCAGAAGTTTTGTGGCGATATCTTTAGAAATGACGAAATGGGAGGCAAACGTATTTGCATGGTGTGATCATGAATTTCGCCATGCTCCCAAAGCCCCACCTTTTTTCGAAACCTGCCAGTACTGGACACCAAGTGACCTCAACTTATCTACTGCTATTTGCCAGAGATTGCTGGTGATTGGGTGAAAGGAGTCCAATAGGGAGCTGTGAAAAAAAGAGTGGCGTGGCGACAGGTCAAAGTTTGAGGCTTAGCCACGCCCATACCTTTCAACTTTTGAAAAATCAGATGGTTGAATTTTGTCCCCTATATCTTAAGAGTATGTAGCAGAAGTTTGAAGGTGATCGGTGAAAAGGGCGACGGGGCATCATTCTCCAAACAACGTGTGAGAAAACCACTAAATCGAGCACTTGGACCAAAATGGCCGACCTCCTGTGCGACTTTACCCTTGGCTGCAAGAGACTTTTTTGTAGGTCCTGAGACACTACATTAGTGTACCAAATTTCGTAATCCTCAGTCAAAGCATGACTTGGGGCTGACAGTTTTGGTCCTAGGGGGCACTATTTAAGATAATAGGCCACGCCCACTGGATTTTCACATCGGAATTTTTTGGGGGGCAGACTAGGATCATTCACCAGAAGATTTGTGGCGACATCTTTAGAAATGACGAAATGGGAGGCAAACGTATGGCTACGGCAGTGCACCTAGCTTCACCATCCCGCAACAGCCCCGCCCTCTTTTGAAAACTCCCATTAAGTGATGCCAAGCAACCCCCACTTGTCTTGCGTTACCTGCTAAAAATTTGTGGTGATTGAGTGAAATGGGGTGATTTGAGACCTATCACAGTAAAACTTGATCTTTATGGTCCTGAGGGGGCGGGGTTTGTGTGATGTCATCATCCAACCATTCAGTTTACTTTTTGGGTGGATGTCAAATGACCACAGAAATTTTTGTAACTTTACTCTATTCAAGTATGAAGTTATAGCCATTTATATTTTTTTGGCGAGTAGTCGAAATTCAAGGCCTGGCCACGCCCCCTCAGCATATACGAAAACTCAGTTTTATTTTTTATGTTTGATCGCCCATTCTTTCTGAGCAATTTCCCACAACGTTTGAGACGATCGTGCAAAAAGTGATCGAGTAAATCAATCAGAAGCGGACCCTAGAAACGGCCAAAATGGGGTCAAAATTGCAACTTTAAACCAAAATGGCCGACTTCCTGTTTGATGTTGACCATGGTTGCAAGAGGCTTTTCTGTGCGGACTGTTGGATACTACAAGTGTACAAAATTTCATAACTGTACAACAAACTAAGGTTTATGGAGGGGGGTATTTTTCACATTCTGGGGGCGCTGTGGAGCTATTTTTATTGCGATTTTTTTGGGACCTTTAAAATACAAAATTTTGCACCACGCCTGACATGTGTGCAAACATTCCTGAGTTTTCGGGTATGTTAAGGCCTCCAAAAAGCCAGTTTACTTGGCGGAAGAAATGTAAACAGAGCAGATACAATAGGCCTTTGCAGCGCTTTCGCTGCTCGGGCCTAAAAATGTTTTGTCAGTGAACCACAACTTTAAGGAAGTCTTTTTTGCTCTAGTCACGTGTAGCGTTCTCACAGAACTTTAAATTTTTAGCTTCATATTTGTAGGATATTATGAGCATTAAATGAAATATTTACTGGATAATCCTAGCTTCAAGCACATTTGCACATCTGTTGTTATCACACTTGAAAGAGAACCTTGTCGAGACTCTGGAAGGCGGCTGTTCTAAACAAACTTCAGAGCTATTAATTCATGATGAGCACGATCAGGCCTCGAGCCGACACAACCACCTGGCCTACGGTGCATGTTTGAGGCCAATACCTTCTAGTAGCTGGGTATGCTTTGCACTCCAGGACAGGGTGGAGTACAAAAACTTCATTTGCTAGATCCAAAAATGACCTGATGGCTCACGTGGATGAATGTTGATAATAGATAATTGGATTGGATAATTGGACAGGAAGTATTACTGGAATATCTTGGGCTTGGGACACAGCACTTTGTCCTGTGCTTATGGTATCCCCATCCAAAATACATTGGACCAATACACTGACTGAATATTCTGAAATGGTTTGCAACAACTTAACTAAAGTAAAGCCACAAGTTAAACTGACCAGCTGATGCGAGTCAGATTAAATCCACTATAGCTGTACAAATGGTCTAAACCTGATCTTTATTGAGATTTCCTGCAGTAAAACACTATGAATTGCTTCCATAGTCAAACAATTGGGTTTATTTGCTCATATATACCCACATACCCATAACTAAATATTTTCTGTGTCTTATGACTGGAGGTGAACACAAAAAAGAGTGAACATTCAAGTAATTGTGAGTATGTATTTGTTTATGTTTGCAGCTCATATGAGGGGAATTATATAGGATTGAAGCATTTCAAGAAAAAACAGCACAGGTGGGGCGTAGTCTTTCTGCTGGACCCAGAAGCTTAAACTGTGTTTATTTTGTTTCTTTTCCTGTTTTTATTGGCGCAGAATGGAATTTAGAACATGCTCTTGACATAATATACATGCATGAGCAAAGAGGAGAAAGGAGACGTGCATGTGCGATCCAGCTCATATGTATTTGTGCCTCTTGGTCAGTCGTATAAAATGTTAGCGTTTGATGCTCCATAAGAAATAGCTTTATTTTCAGAATGTCTGAAAATTTTATAAAATGTCTAAAATAATATTTATTAAAGTATTCAGTCTTTATTTAGTCTTTTGTCATCAAAGCAAACCAATGAGTAAACTGATAACTCAACAAATACTTGATAGTATTCGGTTTTGGAATATTTTTCTAACTAATTTGGTTCTATGTTTGATAGGAAATTTCTATTGCTGCCCACGGCTAAGATTTTCTCCAGCTTAAAAACAAAAGATTGATCCAAAGTCTATGAATCATATCTATGAGCCATGCTGATTTATTGGAAGAACATTAGGTGAACACATAAAAACAAACATGTCAATGGATGAATACATAAATAAATAAAAACTGGATTTATTTCACCACTAAAGACTCGCTCAAGCTTGCCCAGCCATCCAGCATTGCCAGGACAAAGAGGAATGCTTTTACTTTTAAGAGACTGTGGTTGGATAGGTGAAGGAGAAGAAAACGTTGTCTCCCTAAATATGAGTCGAAGTAGGAATTTAATATTGTGATTCTTAGGGAAACCATAGAGATGGTTACCCTTTTAAAGTGATGTTCCGATCCAAATGACATCCATAGTCTGTGGTGGAATCCAGTAATCAGGATGATGTTTCAAAATGAAAAACATTTCCCTAAAGTATTTTGAACTCAAAATGCCAAATGGAATTACTAATTTTAGAAGTATTCAATTTGGACTGTGGCACATTCCAAATTCCATTCCAGAACTGGGGCTTACTTTTCAATTTTCAAGAAACTCCTGAAGACCCTGCTCTTCAGAGAGCATCTTCTAAACTAGCACCCTCCCTGCACCCGTCCCCCCTTTCTACTGTCCACTCCTTGTTCCCTCCTCTCCATGATTGATGTCAAGTTGTTGTTGTTATTGTTGTTGTTAGCCTCAAGGGCAACATGCCGATTATCACTTGTAAGTCGCTTTGGACAGAAGCGTCTGCTAAACACATAAACATAAACATAAATGTCAAAGCACCCATTTCATTAAAAAACTAGGGTAACGTTAACACATACAATATTTACCAGTTGTCTATTTTCTCTGTAGAATGTGTACAATAACTATGTATGACATGTAAAATTGTTTTTTATTTTCATATTTATATTTTATAATAATAAACAGAAAGCAGGTTAATATAAAAAGAACAAATTTGTGATTAGTGATGGATAACAGGATATGTCTTGTAATATAAACGAACTGATCACTTCATTTACAGTTATTGTCTCTAACTTGTACAGCCTGTCACATTTTTACTGTTGGTCTTGATCATGAAATACATTTATAACTCTTCGTGCAATTTGTTTCTTGCCATCAGAACCTGTTTTTTTTTCTTCTTTTGTGTGGAATATTTCTTTTTGTAAAGACCTACAATGCTGATAACATATTAAAGAACCTCAAAACACTCAGTTCTCTGTTTTATGTTTGAATTCTTAAAAGGTGAGGTACACTGAAAAAACACTTTTTAATGATTATTTCTGATTACTATCAGGCACTGAGTTTTTCATGCAGGCTGAACATGAAAATAGTCTCCTACACCTATCTCCTGCATTAGCTTCTGATAGAAAACAGACGGTGAAACTGTAGGATTAAAACATCTCGACAGATCAACATCACACTGTCAATTAGCATTAATGTACTCATCCGTCTCGACTAGCGACGGGGAAGGCTGTTGTTGTTTTAACGTCCAGGAAACAGCAGACTAGTAGAAGCTAACCATTAGCATTAGCGACTCCACCACACACAAAAGCTCCTCTAGGCTTATTTGTGGAGATAAAACATCCACGTTGCAACTCAGAGGTAGTGTTGTGTTGCTGTTATCCAATCTGATGTGAGATGTCCAAATATCAGGAAATAAGACTCCAAATCCTGCAGTCAGCAGCAGTAGACGTGTTCGTGCTGATGCAAGCAACTCTGGGCTTTTTTGCCTCAAGTATGCCTTGCAAGGCTTTTGTTCCCATCACTGCACATTAAACAAGTTTCCTGAACCTTTAAGTGATGTGAATAAGACGGTGATTAAATAAATATTACATAAAAAAACTGTCAGGAGTCTGTGCAGAAAAATAAACTATCGTTGTTTTTGTCCAGTATCCATTGTTCCCTATAATAGCTTCAGTTTGAACAACGGTAATTTGAATTTCCTTATAAGGAATATTTGAGTCATTGTTGTTCAAAGGAAAAAAACATTTCACGTGGTTCTATGTGGGTAATGTGTTTTTGTCTAAATGAAAACTATTAAGATTTAAATATTTAAAGCAATTTAAAATAATTAAACCCCTTATTAACCCTGCAACCTCCTCCCCTCTCCCTTATAAACATAATGAAAGATCAGTTGGCTCTTTGAAACTTTAATACCATTTAACATCCAGGAATGTTATAATAAGTCCAGCCTAAATAAGCCTACCCTGGAGCCAGGTGTAAACCCTTCAGCGTCAGCAGGGTCCTATTCCCACAGTGCACCATGGGAAAAACTCCCATGCAGACATTCTGACCATTGGGTTGGAGGTTCAGGGCCTTTACGCAAGCTTAAAGGCTGTTGTTTGTACTCTGGGTAGGTAAATGGATAAAACTCTTTGAGCCGGGCAGCAAGTCTTTGCTAGTTACACGAAACTTTTCTGGTCACACACACACACACACACACACACACACACACACACACACACACACACACACACACACACACACACACACACACACACACACACACACACACACACACACACACACACACACACAAACACCCACACACACACACACACATTTGTACACTTTTGGATGTTTAACATTAGTTTGTGTTAAATAAGTAGTTCTAAATGATTACAAATGAATAAAAAATGTATACAGTTGATTCTTGGTTTGATTAATTGAAAATAAGTCTAAATTTAATGCATTTAAATTTCTATTAAAATATAAGAACAAGTGTCTTTAGAACATCATCGTAACTGTAAAGATGTTACACTAACAACTTGTTGATAACATTTTATGTCATAACATTTTTATATTTGCAATCTGCTCCGGAGCATTCGAGGTATAAGGTAAAAGTCCCATTAATCATCATCACACACTGTTGAAATTCATCTCCACATTTGACCCATCCCAGTGGGGAGCAGTGAGCTGCAGCTGTGGCTGCGCTTGGGAACTTTTGGTTGGTTTAACCCCCCAACCCAACTCCTAAAAGCTGAGTGTGACGCAGGTAAACATTGGATCCCAATTTTAAAGTCTTTGGTATGACCCGACCGGGATTTAAATAATAATAAAATAATCATCAAACTCATTTGGCTCTTGTTTAGGACACTCAAAGACGCTTGCGTGCACTCATAATCATACACTGCCAGTGATAGTACGATTATTTATTAGCCACAGCCGTCCTGGAGCGGTCTAACAGAGGCGAGGCTGCCATTTGGCGCCGTCGGCCCCTCTGACCACCACCAACACATAAACCCTGATTTCCCGGTCTAGTGGGATGATCTACCCAAGCCCCCACAATGCGGCTCTAAAACTGAGGCAAACCCGGAAATGAAATAATTTGCAGTTCCACCCTCATCCGCTGGGGGCTGGTGTCAGAAGCGAGCAAATCCTCATTGACTCCCATGTGAAAAATACCAATTTCACAGCAGAAATAAACATGTTTACAGCCTGGTACCAAAACATGTTTTTTGTTTAAATTATCTAGTTTACACTCATGACAACTCTGAGGGGGGTGAATTTTTTTCTCACTCTTCTAAGTGTATTAAAAGCCTAAAATTCTGTATAATAAATGAGCATCCGACCCACGTGACCACCGCCTCAGACCCACGTGACCACAGAGCTAGCTCCGTGGAAAGGCCTCAGTAGAGCCTCGGTCTGGCTTGGAAACTGCTCCGGCATTTTGAGTCGCTGTGTTTGTGTATTATTTTTTGGATATTATTGGTGCAATTGTTGGACAAAATGACTTGCTGTGGCATTAATTGCACTAATAGAGCGTCCAAGGAGTCTCCACTTCATTTTATTCGGTAAGTAAAATTATATTTATGTATTTTAGGTCACTGCCGAGCTGAGCGTAGATTTTAACATGTACTGTTTAACAGTGAAATTTAAATGTAATAGGGTAAAACCCAGTACATTTAACATAATGCAGCACTTTAGAAAATGAGTTGAAATATAACATGTTGGTGGAGCTGGGTTCCGACTATCGGCTTGTGGAGCTCTCGGGAGACCGATGTTTTCCACCTGGTTCTCCCCTCCCCGCAGCCCGGCGCATCTCTGTCTGATCGCGGCTTCTGTTTGCTGTGCGGGCTGCCGGCTGGGTCTCCCCGCAGCCCGGCGCATCTCTGTCTGATCGCGGCTTCTGTTTGCTGCGCGGGCTGCCGACTTGTGGAGCTCTGGGATGGAAACCTTTCCACCCGGTTCTCCCCAGCGGCAGCTCTGCGCATCTCAGATCGCAGCAGCGCTTGTCTGCTGTGCGGCTGCCAGCTTGTGGAGGTCTCCGATACCTCTGTGGAGGTCTCGGAGACCTCTGTGTTTCACCCGGTTTTACCCAGCGGTCATTCCAGCGTATCTCTGACTCAGAAGCTCTGGTGTTGTGCACAGTTAACTCCGGTTGTAGCTAGGTTGCTACCTCCGTTAGCTTAGCTCCCACCTCCGCGTTAGCTTTGGGTTAGCCAGGGTTAGCTTCAGGTTAGCTTGTAGCTAGTTCGACCGGGTGTCGTCAGTTGATCCCAGCCTTACAGCCACACCCTCAGCTCCACCTCTCTTCCCTTTTTTGGAATTGTCTGGGCTTGACGGAACCTGTGACACGGTCAAAATGGCGGTGATGGCCACCTCCCATTTGGCCTCAAAAACGTGATATTGGAGCCTATGGAAAGGAGATGTCCAGTATATTTTTGTCGATGGATCTACCACTAGATCTACCACTAGGCCACTAAGAAGGTAATCAAGGTAATCAATCAATCATTATCAAGCAACATTTGATGAATTCTTCAGACCCTGCTGCTGTAACCTTCCAAATAGATATGAAATGAATTTCTAATGTGATAGAAATTTAAATAAATGTCATTTGTCATTTTAAAAAAATGTTCAGCAAACATAAACAATCAAGAGATTTTTTTCTTCCGATGTCACAAATCCAATGGCAGCAACAAAGATGGATTAAAGCCACAACAGCTGATCTCTCCTCACAGATACTTAGTAAAAAAGCAGAACCTGTGATGATGGGGCAAAATTAGTGGTGAGCTATTAACCCATTCATTTTTAACCCTTGCAAAAAAGGTTCTGTGCAAAGCTGGAGGAAGTGCAAACACCAGTATAGGATTCTGTTAAGATGGTGCAGGAAGAATGTATTTTCCTCCATTAGAACAAAAAATCTGTCCAATATTTGAAACCGTCACATGCAGATTTGGTGAGTTTTCTTTTAATTTTTCATACAGTTGTCCAAACTGCGAGATGACTTTGTGAGCATGAAATAAAAGCCCACATTAAAGGCCTGGTGTTCCACTGAAGAGGGACCTGGTTGTAATAAAGTAGATAATTTATGACAGACCAACTGAATGACGGCTTAGTTAAATGATAAAGAGGCTTGCTGAGTCATGGTTGACATATTTTGAGTGACACTTGGGTTCGTATTTCTCCATAGGGACTTCTTCAAATAGTAATAAATAAGCACAGAGAACGGCTGTGGAGGTAATAAACAATACACATATGACATCTGAGCAGATGTGAAGTATTCAGCTGCTTTTGTCAGAAAATGTTTAGTCTAATACTTAAAATCAAGCAATGATTTATGTGTGAATCAAAGAAAGAGACAAAATCATTTTCCATTTAGCGTAACATATGCAAAGATTGACACAAAGATAGTGTGGCTCCAGGGGATAATGAAGAAGATCTGGTGGTCTACAAGAAGCTTCTGTGCAGGTGGTGAGCAGGATGAAGAGAACAGAATAATTGTTAATATTTGAATTTTATTATTTCTGACATGGCTAGCTGAAATCTGACCAAAACTCTGTCTTATAGGTTCCATATTATGAATAATCCACTTTTTACCATGCTACATTGTCATTTCCTCATGAGAAATGGCAGCACCTTAGAGTTGCATGCCCACAGTTTCCTGTCTGATCTTGGAAAAGTCACGGCGGGGCACACCAGAATAAACCCAGATGCAGGAGGCAGAGAGAACTTTAGATCCAGAGATTTAATAACACAAAATCACCACACAAGTGGGAAACTGAAAAGGTCAAAAGGTCACTTGCAGAGGAATCACAGCACTACATCCACAGACAAACAGACTATTTAATATAACGCCACACTGAGTACTGGACCCAGCTGCTTAAATAAGAGTGGTGGCAATCTAGTAAACTGCAGTCAGCTGCGACACTCCAAGTGCTCCAAAGAGGGGCGGGATACTCAGGAGGAGCCGCAGCCGACCTGCACAGAA